TGACATTTTGTGCCGGGTGCAGTGGCTCATGCCTGTAATCCCAGCGCTTTGGGAGGCTGAGGTGGGAGGATTACTTGAGCCCAGGAGTTCAAAAACAGTCTGAGCTACGTAGTGAGACCTCCTGTCTACAATAAATAAACAAAATTAGCTGGGCATGGTGGTACGCACCTAAGTCCCAGTTACTTCGGAGGCTGAGATGGGAGGAGTACGTGAGCCCAGGAAGTCAAGGTTACAGTGACTTGAGATTGCACCATTGCACTCCAGTCTAAGCAACAGAGAGAAAGCCTGTCTCACACAAATGAAGAAGACATTTTGGTGATTTAAACACGTTTTCCTACCTACTGGGAGACTGAACAGCAGGATTTCAATGATGGTGATTGGAAGGTGAGCAATGAGTTAGGGCTGCCCATCATGTGGGCAGATTCTGTGACTTAATGAAAATAGTGAGGTCATGAAGTCTTCTATACAGGGTCTTGCTCTGTCACTCAGGCTGGAGTGCAGTGGTGCAACCGCTCACTGCAGCCTCAAACTCTTGGGCTCAAATGATCCTCCTGCCTTAGCCTCCTGAGTAGGTGGGACTGTAGGCACACGCTACCACACCCAGCTGAGGTCATGAACTCTCGATCCACGAGTATCTTTTATAACTTGCATAGATATATTTGGGTGAAATCCTGTCTTAGCCTTTCCCGATTCTGCCTGAGCAGGCTCCAAACATTGTTTAGGGCTCATTCAATGGGAAGCCAGTGGGTTTCTCCAATAATTAGTGAGATTGGGTCATGTATTCAACAGATTGGGTGCCTACCATGTGCCAGACATTGGGTATATGATGATGAACCCAAAGATGCTAGCATGAACACAATCACTAAACCAAAGTCACACAAAGAAATTAAATGTGGGAGAGACAAGGAGAGCCACACATGTACTGATTATCTGCTATGCTGGAAGTTCTACTTAGCAAATGTAATCTCATTTAATCATCTGGATCTGGGGGAGGTAATCTGACCTCTCTGCACCTCAGCTTCAGTAGAAAATGGAGATAGTGTTATTGAGAGAGAATATTTGTTACAGGGGCAAACCCTGTTCCAAAGCTTGGTTCGCTCAAAATATAAACAATGAGGAACTTTTTACACTTTAGTGTTTTTTTGTTTTGTTTTGTTTTGTTTTTTAATGATTGAGAGGTTTTTAATGTTGCCCAGGCTGGCCTTGAACGCATAGTCTCGCCCCTTAAGTGCCAGGAAAACAGGCCTGAGCCACCGCAGTACCTGTACTTCTTACACTTTAGACACCAAAACCTCTGAGAGGCAAAGAGGGCTGGTATTTAGTGAGTATCTACTATGTGATAGGCACTGTACAAAGATCTAATTTAATCCCAGCCCCATTCTTTGTATTTGCTATGTACGTTGCTGTGCAAATGACGGCATTGAGTCCGTGAGAGGTTTGGTAACTTGCCCAAGGCCACAGAGCTGGAGAAACTGCAGAAATTCAAACCCAGGCCTGTTGATGTGCAGAGCCAGTGATAATATATTATCTCGCAGTGCAGTTCATGGGATAGGTGTGTCCCTTTGGGAATTCCTGAGTCTCTGCTGGTGGCCTGCTAACTTAGTTCTTGAATATGCACTTTGCTTATAACTGTGCAGTTTGAAAATAGTGACTCATCCCCAAACTAGGCAGGGTTGAGTATCTGTCCTGTTCATCTTCCACATGCCACCTGCACCAACTTCTGAAGATAATCTGTAATAAAAGCACTGTGGTTAAAAAACAGGAAAACACACACCAAAAATGTATAGGTTTGTCTGTTGGTGCTTCTGTCAAAAAAATAAACTCATGTATCCCATTAACTTAAATAAGTCACATCTAATTAAAGTTTAATAACTAAAGCCAACTTTCTATCTGTACAGTTCTCTGAACATACTCTCTTTTCACACCTAATTATATGTTGTCATTTGTTTCTGTTTGATTCTGCAAGGGCAGAGACCTTGAAATAGTCACATCTGGATTCCCCCATGGCTTGACCCAACTGAAGTCAGGCAGTGTTTGCTCAGAGAAACAAAGGTGTTTCCATAATGCCTGTATTAGCTTTCTTTTGCTGTTGTAAGAAGTTAACACAGATTTAGTGTCATAACACAATATTCATTTCTGTCTCCCACTTCTTGTGAGCCAGATGTCTGGATTCCATGGCTCAGCTGGTTCTCTGCTTCCAGTGTGACAAGGCTGAAATCAAGGTGTCTATATTCCTCTCTGGAGACTTGGGGTGGGGGTATATCTGTTCCCAAGTTCATTCAGATTGTCAGAATTCAGTTCCCCGAGGTTGTAGGACTGAAGTCCCCATCTCCTTGCTGGCTATTGGCAGGACTTCCTCTCAGCTCTTAGAGGCTGCCTGCATTCCCTGGCTTGTGGCCACTTTCAAAATCAGCAACAGTGGGTCGAGTTCCTCCCATACTTTGAATTTAATTCTTCTGTCTCTCTCTCCCCAAAACATCTCTTTCGCCTCCCTCTTCTGCTCCTAAGGGTTCATGTGATTACATTGGGCCCACCCAGACAATCTAGAATAATCTTATTTTAAGGCCTTTAGGCCTTTAAGCATTTTAGCATTTGCAAAATTGCTTTTGCCAAATAATGCTGGCTAGGTGTGTGATGGCTGTAATCCCAGCACATTGGGAGGCCGAGATGGGCGGATCACCTGACATCAGGAATTGAGGACCAGCCTGGCCAACATGGTGAAACCTGGTCTCTACTAAAGATACAAAAATGGGCTGGTCAGGGGGTAATGAATACCTGTAATCCCAGCTACTTGGGAGGCTGAGGCAGGAGAATCGCATGAACGTGGGAGGTGGAGGTTGCAGAGAGCCAAGATCATGCCACTGAACTCCAGCCTGGGCGACAGAGCAAGACTCCATCTCAATAACAATAATAAGAATAAAAAAAGAATGCAACATATTCACAGGTTTCAGGGACTAGGGCTTGAACAGTTTTGGGCAAGGGGGGAGGGCATTATTCTACCACAGCGTCTATACTAAACATGCAAATTTTAGTTACTCCCTGTAGGTCAGAGGGGAGTAAAGCTACTTCATAAGACACCTAAAAGATGCCAAATGACTTGCCAAAGAGTACTGTATCAGCTGTAAATTGAAAAAAAAAAAGTTAATAATCCTTTGTATAAAATCAAGTCAAACCATTTTTTTGGGGATGGTAGTTCCTCCTTTCTCTCAGGTTAAAGCTGGAGAGATTTTAAGAGGTGTCTTGTTCCAGAGAGCTGGGTGCTCTTTGCAGTCTTTTCCCTTTGCAGGATTTTGCTTACCAGACTCATAAGTTTTCTGTGACCAGTATTAGACACAGAACATTGAACCCTTTGGTGTTAGAGTTTGGGCTATAACATAATGATCTCCTATCAATACTGGCTGTGTCCTACACATTAACATTAAGGAGTGGAGGGTGTGTTTCCTCAGGCAGGGAAACCTTTTAAATGTGGCCACTGATTGTGCCTTTATAGTTTTTAAGAGCTGTCCTCAATCCAATTCAGGACGGACTCTAGAAATGTTTCTGGACGACTCAACCTATTTACAGGTACAGAAAACCTATGTGCTGAGTGCTCCGAACTTCAGCCCAAGGCTCAGAGAGGCTAAGTACATTGCCCATTGTCTCTCAGCTGGTAATAACAGCTACCATTTATTAAGTATTTGCTCAGCTGCGCGTGTAAATCCCAGCACTTTGGGAGGCTGAAGCCTGTGGATCATGAGATCAGGAGATTGAGACCATTCTGGCCAACGTGGTGAAATCCCATCTCTACTAAAATGCAAAAAATTATCTGGGGCGTGGTGGCGCGTGCCTCTAGTCCCAGCTATTCGGGAGGCTGAGGCAGAGGGAATCACTTGAACCTGGGAGGCGGAGGTTGCAGTGAGCCTAGATCGTGCCACTGCATTCCAGCCTGGCCATAGAGCGAGACTCTGTCTAAAAAAAAAAAAAAGCTCTATGCTAGGTGCCAAATCATATAGACCTAATACTGTCAAGATCTCCCTTCACATCCTCTTCCAATTTGTCAAATGTTTTACGTTAATTTTAATTCCAATAATGCCGTGAAATGCTACACAAATGCAGATCACAAAACTGAGACTCAGAGAGGTTGAACTGACAGGCAGGGAGTGACTCAGCCAAGATTCCAGTCTAGGTCCGCTGGATTCCAGGGCCTGAGTTCTCTCCAAGGTACTGCCTCTAAAACGCACTCAGGTGCATTCTGCTCGATATGGCCCCAGAGTCCAAATTCTTTACACGAGCCGTCAACATATCATCAAGTTCCTGAAGTGGTAAGAACGCTCTAGGCTGCGGGTACAGACTCTGCAAATACACAGCGGCCTGAAAGCACAGGAGGAAATGAGGAACCGTCTAAGTCCATCAGCCGTGGAATATCCGTTTTACTGCTATGAGGGTCTTTTTGTCTCATTATTATGCGTCAGTGAGTCATTTAGGGAGGACCAAAAGGGAAAGTCCTGCCTCTCATCACCTACGAGAAGTGTTGGTGAGAACCGTTTAAGAGAGAAGCATGAAGTGGGAGCTGCGAGTCGATCTACCCATCCTGGCTCCCCAACCGCACCTGCCCGGAGGTCTGGAAGCAAAAAGCAGCGAAGGGGTTAAGAGCGAACCGGGCGGGGGAGCCCAGCCACCGCCCCTTCCCAGCATCGCCTCCCAGAATCCCCCAGGCCCCCAGCCAGTTCCCGCACCTCGCGAGACTCCACCCAACACACCAGCACCCCCACCTCCGCCCCTCCCCGAACAGCGACCCGTTCCCGTTCTTAGTTGAGGTCGGCGCTAGGCGGAGGACGCGAGAAAAAAAGCGGAAAAGGGCCGCGGGGCAAGCCGGGAAGTGTGGTCTATGCGCTGCACGCGGACATATTCTTCCGGAGCGGGGAAGGCCAGAGAGGCCGCCGGGACTACGACTCCCAGCCGCCCTTTCGGTTTGTTTTTGTTCAAAAAAAAAAAACCCACACTCCCCCTCCTCACTCTTCACACACACTCCCACACACCCACGGCAGACACGCACGCACCCGGGCGCCGAAGGGAAAGCCGCGTCTCGCCCTCCCGCCCCGCCGCCGGTCGTGTCTCCGATCCCTCAGCAGAGCGGGAAAGCGGAGGCCGGAGCCGTGACCTCTGACCCCGTGGTTATGCGGAGCCGCCGCATTCCTTAGCGATCGCGGGGCCGCCGCTGCCGCCGTGGGCGACTGACGCAGCGCGGGCGCGTGGAGCCGCCGCCGCCACCCCTCCCCCACCGCGCTCTCGCGCCAGCCGGTCCCCGCGTGCCCGCCCCCTCTCCCCGGCCGCACCCGAGCCCTCGCGCGCCGCCACCGTCGCCGCCGTCACGCGTCCCCCCACTGCCGCCGCCGCCGCCGCCCCAGCCCGCCCAGCCCGGAGATCCCGCGTGGAGCTGTCGCCGCCGCCGCCGCCGGGGAGGAGGATGAAGGACAAACAGAAAAGGAAGAAGGAGCGCACGTGGGCCGAGGCCGCCCGCCTGGTGAGGCGGGCAGCCGAGGGGGGCCTCGTGGGGGCCGAAGGGGGGGGTGCTCGCCGCGCACCCCCAACAGGAGGGGGAGGGGCGAGGCCCTGCCCACCGCGGGAGGGGGCGGGGCCATCTTCCTTTAAGAACCAGACAGCCCCGCAAGGCGCGGGGTGGGGAGCGCTCCCCCGCCGTGGTGGGATGTGGCGCTTTTTTCCGCTAGGGCCCTCACCTCCCCCGCGCCCCAGCAGAATTCCTGCGGAGGGGCGAGTTGGCTGGCCAGCTCCTTCCCCTTTGGGCACCGGGGTCCCGCCTCCCCTCCCCCACGATTTGGCGGCGTCTGGGGGTCTGGGGCAGCTTCGTTCATTCACCCGGGGGAGTTGGGTTTCCGGGAAGGGTCGGAAGCTCCTCCCTCGCTTCCTGGTGGGTAATGGGGTGGTGCGTTTGACTCGGGGTGGAAAAGCGACCCCACATTCGAGGACACCAGTGGCATTTTGAGATTTCCCAATCTAAACCAGGTGCGTGGAGTGAAGCAAGTGCTCATTTCCCAGCTTGACCCCTGAGCAGCGGTTCTCCAACTTTAGTGTCCTGTGGGGAACACCTGGGAGGCGGTTAGGAACGCTCCTCGTAGGGCCCTGGGCGAGACCTGCTGAGCCTCAGGGTCTGGGATGGAGGCTGGGAATCTGCGCTTTCACTAGCTTCCCAGGTGATTGGAACACAGTGGCCCACGGACCCCACTTTGAGAAACGCTGACTGTAGGTGCTTGCCTTCAGAAGCTGGACTGAAAATGGGTACTTTGTGGAGAACTGAGTCACTGTGCCGAGAATGTATGTTGGACAAAAACAAAGTGTCTCTGTGGGGAGACTGTTCACGGAGGATTTGGATTCAGCAAGGGAGAGCATAATTTGAGTGTTTGAAGCCGCCTGGTTCAACTGGTGGGGGTTGTGAGCGTCAGAGGACTTGCAGGTGAAATAACTTCCTTTTGGATTGCACCCACAATGCTAAGACGCTTGGAGATGCATTCCTGAAACGTAGCAGGTGTTACTTCTCCCAGAGATGTCACTTCCTCAGATCTGTCACACAGTGAGGTTATGGTGCCGGTAGCATAAGTGTTGCTTGACACCCTGTGGTTTATATGTAATTGTTGTCATCCAGTTCTAATGATCAGTGAAACTCTGACTTAATTTTCTCTCATTTTGAGGTGAGTTTTCTGCCTCAAAAGATGTGCCCCCCCATCAAAAAAAAAAAAAGGGTGTGGGGATTGATACAAATCTAAAGTACACCTTTTTCTTTCTCGAAATCTGTAAAAGTTACTGATTTATAAAACTGAAGGTATTTGGGCTACAGGAGAATTTTCATTGGTGTTTGCGATTCTCTCCCCTAGTCATTCGTTGCCCAGGGAAGAAAAATAGCAATTGTTTGTATGCTGAAGTTCTGTGCTTCAGTTTATTTTGGCCTGGCATGTGAAATTTGAAGATTTTGAGGTTCCAGAATATTTTTTTTTTTTCTGATTCAGTCAACATCGGAAGGTTGGGCTAGTTTTCGGCATCTTGTAGAAATTTCAGTATTTCTCTAATGTTTCTTTTTCTTTTTTTCTTTTCTTTTTTTTTTTGAGACAGAGTCTCACTCTGTTGCCCAGGATGGAGTGCAGTGGTGTGACCTCGGTTCACTGCAGCCTCTGCCTCCCGAGTTCAAGTGATTCTCCTTCCTTAGCCTCCTGAGTAGCTGAGAGTACAGGTGCACACCACCACGCCCAGCTAATTTTGTATTTTTAGTAGAGACGGGGTTTCACCATATTGGCCAAGATGAGCTCCATCTCTTGACCTCGTGATTCACCCTCCTAGGTCTACCAAAGTGCTGGGATTACAGGTGTGAGCCATTGCGCCAGGCCACTCTCAGATGTTTCTTTACTTGAATATAGGCCTGGTGGGGATTGGGAGAGACCTCTCATTTTCCTGGACAAAGAGTTTTGTGTGTTTATTGACATTCTCCTTGGCGTTCCTGTTACGTGGGTGTTTATGACCCTGGGCACCCAAGGAAATTTGCTAGCTAGAGTTCTACTTGTTAGGGTTACGTAAAAGTACTTTTACATCTTGGGTTATTTGTGCCCTGACATAATTATAAAGTCTATCTGTCTCAAAATTCTGTTGGTTCTTACTAGTTGACTTTAGGAATTTGGGGTCCACTGTTAAGCCTCTTTAGATTCTCGAATTGACTGTGGTGTGAACTTCAACATCGAGGTTGCTCTTTCTGTTTTATCATTGACTGAGCTTCAAGCCAGATTATGAGTAAGTTATTTCTCTTTTTCTTCTAAGGCACTTCATTAAAAATAATGATATGAAGTAGGAATTACTTTGTGGTGCTGTTATACCTGTGAAAAAGGATTTGTGAGACTTTGGGAGGCTGAGGCGGAATAATCAGTTTAGACTAGGAGTTCGAGACCAGCCTGGGCAACATAGTGAGAACCAGTCTCTTCAACAACAACAAAATGAGCTGGGCCTGGTGGTGTGCACCTATGGTTCTAGCTACTTGGGGCTGAGAATAGCATAGGCTGAGGAGTTGGAAGCTGCAGTGCCCAGTGATTGATTGTGCCACTGCACTCCAGCCTGGGTGATAGAGGGAGACCCTGACTCTAAAAAAAAAAAAAAAAAAAAAAAAATGAGGCCAGGTGAAATGACTCATGCCTGTAATACCAGCACTTTGGGAGGCTGAAGTGGGTGGATCATGAGGTCAGGAGTTCTAGACCAGAGAACTGTGAGAGCAAGACTGTCTTTAAAAAAAAAAGGACTCCTGAGAATCTTTGTGTTTTTTTGTTTTAGAATTTTCCATTTCTTTGCATGGACTGGTTGGTAGGTGAGGGGGAACTTTTTAAGACTCCTAAGCTCAGCGTGGTGGCTCACACCTGTAATCCCAGCACTTTGGGAGGCCAAGGCAAACAAATCAATCACCTGAGGTCAGGAGTTCGAGACCAGTCTGGCCAACATGGTGAAACCCCTGTCTCTACTAAAAATACAAAAATTAGCTGGGCATGGTGGCACATGCCTTGTAATCCCAGCTACTTGGGAGGCAGAGGAGGTTGCAGTGAGATCCCACCACTGCACTCCAGCCTGGTTGACAGTGAGACAGACTCCATCTCAAAACAAAAAAACAGCCCTGTTCATGTTTAAAAAAAGTTACTATAACACTGTTTGCTGGAGAATTTGTGAGAGCATTGGACTGAGAGAAACTTGACGAGGAGGGAACGTAGGACAGTTGATTAGAACACCTGAACACTTCTCTTCAGGCAGGTGGATTTGGAGTGCTTGCAGTGGCAGTTGTATGCACTTCCTTGGAAACACTTTCAGATTGCTCCTGAACCGGCTTAGATTGGTTGACTACAGTGTGACTGGGAGTCCTTTTAAAAATTGTTTTTATAGAGGAAAGAGGATTATTCTTAAGAATTTTAGTATAGTATACCCCAGGAGATTGATTTTTGCAGATGTTAATTATGCTGTCGAAAAAGATATTGTTTCTTTCACACATTTTATAGTATTGTCTTTTCTAGATGTAAGAAGTAGACCTTACGTGGTTGGGTAGATACAAAGCCTCCAGCTTGTTATGAACAGTTTGTTTGGGAGAAGTGGTCAAGGGGATTTCCCTTTAAATTGAGGCCCCCTAAATGGATTCTCCCTGGCTTTGAGAAACTCTTTTTTTGCATGCTTTATCTTTTACTTTGATTCATGACTGACCAATCTTAACATCAAACATTTTTTTCCCCTTTGAAGTAAGAGATTCTTTTTAAAAAATATAAGCTAGAAAGACAGCCACTAGGAATAGAACGCTGCTCACTTGTTCTTACACCAAAAGCTGGAGGCGTAAACAGTTTTAATAAAAGTGAATTCTTTGTATCTTTTGATGTAACTTCAGAGATTTTGTTTCCTCTGTCTTAAATTCTCAGGCTCTTTCTGATTGCTGTTTAAATAATTGGTAGTTACTATTTCAGAGTCATGCTTCTTAAAAAAATTCTACCAAAATTCGCTAGCTCAGCTTCCATTTAATTAGTATCAAAGAAATGGTATCTGTGGTACTGAACATTAGTTGTTTGTTCCAGGGTTTATTGTAGGTTTGTTCAAGTCAGTACTGCCTATCTTGGCACTTAAGTTCTTGGAATATAAAGGTAGATAAGGTTTGCCCCTCAGGGCTTATGGTCTTCTGGGGATGGCGAAGGTCGAGACATAGGAACAGAATTTTACTCCCGGCATGATAAGTATTATCACAGTTGTATAAATCATAAACAGATATCCCAGTTCCTGCCTCTTGTCTAGTCATAATTATGAATAGTTTCTCCTTTCACGCTCAACTGTCCTGGTTTGGGAGATAATTATATGTGTTATAAAACATATCCCTGGCAGAGATCAGGGAAGGCTTCCTGGAGAAAGGTGCTTTCTGAGCTGAATCTTGATGGGTAAGTAGGGGTTCCCATCACAGAGGGCGTAAGCAGGAGCTGGTGACAACAAATAGAGTGAGAGTGGGGGAGACAGAGAGTATGTATTTGCAAAGTGTGGGAATTAGGTATATCTATGAGTTATAGGAACATAAAATTTGTGGAGTGTCAGCTTGGATGGGTAAAGAGATGGGTAGAGACCAGATCGTGAGGGCTCCATATGCCAGGCCAGTGAGTGCCTACTCTGTGCCAGGCACTGTAGGCATGACTTACATTGTCTCTCATCTGTTCAACTGAGAGGAAGACATCAGTATCCTTAAGAAAACTTAGGTTCAGGTTGGGTTGTAATTTGCCCCAGTTTAGAGTGTAAAAGTTTGAATGTAACTCAAGATCTGTTCTTTAGCCGTGGGCCAGTGGACTTTGGAAGCTTCAGCTTTTGCAATATGTGATTAGGGAGCTGTTGAGGATTTTATTTGCTCTCTATTTTTTTTTATTATTTTTTGAGACAGGGTCTCACTCTGTCACCCTGGCTGAAGTGCAGTGGCGCCATCACAGCTCACTGCAGCTTCCATTTCCCGGACTCAGATGATTCTCTCACCTCAGCCTCCTGAGTAACTGGGATTACAGGCTTGTGCCCCATGCCCGGCTAGTGTTTTGTATTTTTTGTCAAGACAGAGTTTCACCGTGTTGCCCAGGCTGGTTTTGAACTCCTAGGCTCAAGCAGTCTGCCCACCTTGGCCTCCCAAACTGCTGAGATTACAGGTATGAGCCACTTCACTCAGCTAGTATTTTTTATTTTTTAAAGAGATGAGGATTCATGGTGTTATCCAGGTTGGAGTGCAGTGACTAAACACAGGCAGGATCATGGTGTAGTACAACCTGGAGCTTCTGAGCTCAGGCCACCCTCCTGCCTCAGTCTCAGCTGAAACTCACCACTGCGCCTGGCCTGTTGAAGGATTATTATTTTTTTTTTTTTGAGACGGAGTTTCGCTCTTGTTACCCAGGCTGGAGTGCAGTGGTGCGGTCTCGGCTCACTGCAACCTTTGCCTTCTGGGTTCAGGCAATTCTTCTGCCTCAGCCTCCTGAGTAGCTGGGATTACAGGCACATGCCACCATGCCCAGCTAATTTTTTGTATTTTTAGTAGAGACCGGGGTTTCATCGTGTTGACCAGGATGGTCTCCATCTCTTGACCTCGTGATCCACCCGCCTCGGCCTCCCAAAGTGCTGGGATTATAGGCGTGAGCCACCGCGCCCGGTCCCTGTTGAAGGATTTTACAGCTGAAACTGATGAGGGCAGATTTGCTTTGCTGGGTTGACCTCAGGCTATAACATGTAAGTTGTACCAGAGCAGGGATTTGGTCTTGTTTAACTGTGAATCCCTAGAATTGTGCCTGGCACCAAGTAGGTGTTCCATGTGTTTGTTGAATGAAGGCTGACAGTAGAGTCAGAATGGATTTGAGGAAAGCAGGACTGGATGGAGGGATATTAAGAGGCTGTTGTATTGGGCCAGGTGAGAGACTGGTGTTGTGACTTGGGGGACAGATGAGAGAGAAGGCTGACACCTGTGTTTCTGAATTAGGTGATTATACAGGCTGTCAATCAAGGTAGAGAATACAGGAAGAAGAGCAGGTCTGGAGAAGAGGTGAAATTAGAGTTGCCAATTAGATGAATTAAGAGTAGAGCTGGATTAGAGTAGATGATGAAGGGGTACAATCAGTATACAACCAAATATTTGAATCTGAAATTTGAGGGAGAAGTCAGGGCTAGAGGTAGAGATTAGGTAGTTATCAGAAGTTAGGTAGTCCCTGAAATGTGGAGAGATGATTATATTACCCATAGAGAATGGAAAAACTGCAAAGAGAGGCAAAGAATAAGGCTGTGGGAAATAGGGGTTTCATTTTAGTACCTTCTCCAAGCCTTGACTTTAGTGCTGAGGGCTTATGTTCTTCCATAGAGAGTACCTTCCACAGCAGTCCTGTCAGACGAGAGTGGGCATGTTCAGGGTGGTGTGGCCCTAGACAGCAGCAGCCCTGTCAGACTTACTGCGTTATGTTTTGCTTGTGAGAGCAGTAGTTGGTTATGGTAGTTACATGGACTGTAGGAGGTTAGCTTGATTTGGAGTAACAAGTAGTTGTACAGGTTGACAAAGTACAAAGATATTGACAGCATGTTTCCTCTTTTAGAAGAATAAGTTTTCTAAAACTCTTTTTAGATGGAGTTTCAGTTTTGTTGCTCAGTCTGGAGGGTAATGGCGCGATCTTGGCTCACTGTAAGCTCTGCCTCCCTGGTTTAAGCGATTCTCCGACCTCAGCCTCCCGAGTAGCTGGGATTACAGGCATGCCCCACCACGCCTGGCTAATTTTGTATTTTTAGTAGAGATGGGGTTCTCCATGTCTGTCAGACTGGTCTTGAACTCCCGACCTCAGGTGATCCGCCTGCCTCGGCCTCCCCGAGTGTTAGGATTACAGGTGTGAGCCACCACACCCAGCTCTACAACTCTTAAACCAAGAGAGCTGCAGTTGCACACTTAGGAAAATACTGCCATGACTTGGTTATAGGTAATGCTAACATAAATGGGATATTCTGTTTCTCACTGCACCAGTCATGCAGAATTATAGCATCATGTTGCCAAATGGCAAAATGTTCTGTGGCAGTTAACACCACAAATTGACAACACAGTGGCAATAGGCACTGTTTAAAAATATGGATACTTGGCCAGGCGTGGTGGCTCACGCCTGTATCCCAGCACTTCAGGAGGCTGAGACGGGCAGATCACCTGAGGTCAGGAGTTCAAGACCAGCTTGGTTAACATGGTGAAGCCCCATCTCTACTAAAAATACAATAATTTGTGTGTTTGTGTGTGTGTGTGTGTGTGTGTGTGTATGTGTATGTACATGCACTAATCAAACTTCCTTGGGAAAGAAAATTTGAATACATTTCTGTCTTACCCATTTCTTGTGCAGCACTATATATTCTGTGGTTTAGCAGTATTAACAGCATCAAGTTAAACAGTAACCAGTGTTGCTAAGATCTCGTGTACTATGCCATGTATGCTGAGAAGAGATGCATCCTTAGAATTGAGAATGAGAACATTTCAGTTAATTGCAGTAACTTAGCCCGTGATATATAGACCAATGGATATAAATGGAAATTGCACACTAAAATTAGGACGTTTATATTTCTTCAGGTATTAGAAAACTACTCGGATGCTCCAATGACACCAAAACAGATTCTGCAGGTCATAGAGGCAGAAGGACTAAAGGAAATGAGGTTTGTATTGTTCTTGTTGTTTAACATGAGGGTTTCATAGGACATGTGTCTTTCTGTACTCGTGTAGTGATGTAAGTCCACCTGTGTATATATTTGTGCTTCTGTGTCTGGCAGTGAGGTAGAACTATCCATTTCCCAAATTGTGTGTCGTCTGCGTGGAAGGTGGGAGTGGGTGGACACCCACTGGTTTTCATTTGGAGGTGCAGTGGCTTTCCCCATTTCCTTGCTCTTCCTTAAGTCTTGGCATAGAGATTGTTTTTTGCGTAAGGAGTCCGGCAGGGCACATTTCATCTTGTGCCGTTTTGGAAGTTTCAGACCTAATAGCCTCTATTGTACCAAATACTACCCTTTTCTCTATGCCATATCACTGAAGTTCTTTCTTTTAGGATAAAAGAATGGTGGTCTCATCAACATAAACCCACTGACTTTTTCCACCCTACTAATTCCAGTCATATATGAAATGAATTTGCTACATTTTGAGGTGACCTTTGTTTTCTAAATTTATAGTATAGGTTTCCTGGAGAAGTAACAAGTTAGAAACATAGAATTGCCGGCCTGAAGGCCAGTGACTGTCTTTAATCTTTGTTTTTCCTTCAAACTTCAAAAAAAAAAAAAGGTCAGCCATGGTGGCTCACGCCTGTATTACCAACACTTTGGGAGGCTGAGGCAGGCAGATCATTTGAGGTCAGGAGTTCAAGACCAGCCTGGCTAACACGGCAAAACCCAGTCTCTACTGAAAATACAAAGATTTGCCAGTGTGGTGACGTGCGCTTGTAGCCTGTAGCCCCAGCTCAGGAGGCTGAGGCAGGAGAATTGTTCAAACCCAGGAGATGGAGTACAGTGAATTGAGATTGCACCACTACGCTCCAGCCTGGGCGACAGAATGAGACTCCGTCTCAAAACAAAACAAAAAATCCTTAAATGAGGAAAGAGGAGAGCCCTACACAGTTGCTTCCTGGGACTTGGAACAAACTTCATGTTTTTGCCAGTCAAACTTTAGCTGCTTTAATTGACCCTTTAGTGTCAAAAGGCCCTCACTTTCCAGTCAATAGTTCAGACATTCTCAAGTTGATATTTTTGTGGGGAGGGAAGATTGGGATTGTCTACCTCAAATTTCTTTCACTTGTATTTATGCCCTGTGTAGTGTTATAATTGTGCTTTATTTTTGTTTTTATGGGCTATTTCCCGTCATGCTGCTGTCTTCACTGCTGTTGGACCACTTTGCCTATAGAAGGTAAATGAGTCCCTTTGGGACATACGGAATTGAGAACCTTAGCTTATTTCTGCTGCTTGTTCTTAGAGGAATTATGAAGCGGTTATGGTGGCTCATGATGAGTGAGCAGCTCTGTAATTTGTAGACGGAGGGATCATATGTAGGAGTCACAGAAGAGCTTTGCCAGCGTGCTGTTCCCCCTTGTAGCAGAGATGCTAGCACACCCACTTGATACTCCAGATTTTGCACAGGGTACTTTTAGAGATTGGTTCTTGGTGAAAAATTTTTCAGCATCCAGTGTGTTCCAAGGCAAAATAAGTAATAGTTTTTTAATGGCTTTTTTAGACTCAGAATTTATTTTTAACACTGCATAAATTAGGGCCTCTGGTTCTGAAAAATGCGAAGAGGCTTACTTAAACTATATATTTTTGGACATGCTGGGGAAAGGGAAGAGAAGGTGCATAGGTGAATCCTAGCTCTAATACACTAGTGCCAAACTCACTTAGTAATAATGGGCATTGGTTGATATTTCTGGTAGCTTTTCTATTTTAAGATTCAGTAAATAGCATCCTTCTCACTGAATTGTCACTGTTTTGGAACCTGCTGTTGTGGCAGGGACCGTGAAACAACTTAGTATGCCATCGTTTCAGCTTAATGTTGAAGGATGGGTACTAAATCCACTCGACTTATTTTTTGGATTCTGGTTTAAATAATTGTTCCTGGGTAGATACAGACTAAAACTCATTCTCCCCACTCCCAACAGAGCAAAAAACAAATGAAATACAGTTTTTGTGTGTGTACTTACTGGAAAATGTTTAACTGGGAGAAAAATTTCTGCTTGTTTTATTGGCACAGCACCATTGATTCTGTGATTCTTTGTCATAATATTCTGTGGCAGTGTCTGAGTATGATATGTAGGTTGACATATAGAGGCTAGGAAACTTTTAATAGTAAAATTTTACTAACATTTAATTTTTAGAATTTAATTAGAATATAACTTGAAAAAAATCATTGTGTGGTTTTTCTAAATTTCTTGGAAATTTGATTTATATTGTCAAAAAGCACTGATGAAGTGTTAGGTATAGATTTCAGGTATCACATAATATTTATCCCAGAGTTCTCTGAGTGTAATTTATGTGAGTTTCATTTGGTTGTTCTTTTACTAATTTCACAGTGAAATTGTCATGAGATTTTTTTTCTTCTGTATTTCTTGCTTAGCTTCTTCTCATTTCAGAATGAATTGGAGGGATTAGGTCTTTAGGTAAGCAGGCAGATGGATTTTATGACCCTCATCCATTCTTTTATTACAGTGGGACGTCCCCTCTTGCATGCCTCAATGCTATGCTACATTCCAATTCAAGAGGAGGAGAGGGCTTGTTTTATAAACTGCCTGGCCGAATCAGCCTTTTCACACTCAAGGTAATTAATATAAATTCTGTTTTGCTGTAGTGGTTCTTGGACTTTCAATGTGTATAAGAATTACCTGGTAGTTCTATAATGGGGGGTGTGAATTTGCATTTCTCATATGCAGTCAGATGACATTGATGCTGTTGGTTCTAAATGGCACTTTGAGATGTTCTAATATGAATAGGATCTTTGAAATTACTTAGTCATAATGGCTCTTGTCTCTGTTCATCTTTGCTTGTCTGTATCTTTCTAGATTGTACAAAATTGAAGGATAAGTATGTGTGGGAATAATGGCAGATGTTTTGCTTCGCCACCCCCCCCCCCATGGCATCTCACTATGTCACCCAGGCTAGAGTGCAGTGGTGGGATCTCAGCTCACTGCACCCTTCACCTCCCAGGTTCAAGCAGTTCTGCCTCAGCCTCCTGAGTAGCTAGGATTACAGGTGCATGCCCAGCTAATTTTTGTATTTTTAGTAGAGATGGGGTTTCACTGTGTTGACCAGCTGGTTTTGAACTCCCGACCTCGTGATCTGCCCACCTTGGCCTCCCAAAGTGCTGGGATTACAAGCGTGAGCTACTGCGCCCAACCACAGATGTGCCTTAATTAGGATTTTGTTGTAGTAATGATGTGAAGGATAAATTACCGGACAACTGAAGTAAGACCTACTATATGGAAAATAACTGAAATGTGAACATGTTTGTGGAAATTCAAAAACTCATTGACATTTAGGAAGTGGCAGTAATTACAAAGGAAGAGGAGTTAGGTAGAATTCATAATAAAGCTCAAATAGGGCTAAATGAACAAGTAATTATTTTTCCACCGTTTGTGATATATATGGCAATCATTTAGACCAGAGCTCTGTACACTTTTTCTGTACAGGGCCAGAAAATGTTTTTGGTTTTGTGGACCATACTGCTTTTGTCTTAACCACTTAGGTCTGCCCTTTTAGTAGGAAAGCAGCCATACCCAAATTAATGGACATGAGTGTGTTCCAATAAAAAATAATTTATTTTATTTACAAATGTTTGTTTTACTTAAGAAAACAGGCTGCAGGCCAGATTTGATTTGGGGCTGTACTTTGCTGACCCCTGATGTAGACATAAGATGACTTGTTGACATTGGAGAAACTGAAAATTTTATGCTGACCCTTTCGTTCTTAGTGTGTTTATAAATTGTAGCAGTCAGTATACACTTTTTCCTTTAAGTTTGTTTTCTTGATGGATTGTATTTAAAATAAATATCTGAACAAATACCAGCTATATAGCATGAGGCCATAAAGCTTGGTCTTTATATATAAATAAAGTTTATCTTGTGGTCAGATGTCTGTGCTGTTTTCTGTGTTGTTTTTATATCCGACAGCTTGGTCTTCTTTTTCCTATCAGTTTTGCGTGCTTTTCTTGTAATCAAACCTTGGGAGAGACAGAGCCAAAACCTAGCTTTGTGGTCAGGTGCGGTCGCTGACACCTGTAATCACAGCAGTTTGGGAGGCTAAGGCGAAAGGATTACTTAAATTCAGGACTGTGAGACCTTGTATCTATTTGGGGGGTGGCGGCGGGGGGGAAGCCTTGCATGATGGTGTGTGCTTTCGTAGTTTTAGCTACTCAGGAGGCAGAGCAGGAGGCAGCTTGAGCTCTGAGGGTAGCTTGAGATGGAGGCTGCCGTGAGCTGGGATCAACACCACTGCTCTCCAGCCTGGGCCATATAGCAAGATGTCTCAAAATAAAAATGCAACTTTGTAACCTGGGATGGATTTAACCTCTTTTTGGTGGAAAGTGCATTCCTGGCACAGTCAGTCCTTAATAAATGATAGCCTTTATGATGTTCTGAGGTTCATCATCCTTAATTGTCTGTTAATGGCACTTTTTTATTAATATTATTACATATTTTTTGAGATAGGCTCTTGTTTGTCACCTGGGTTGGAGTGCAGTGGTAGTATGTGCCTGTAGTTCTAGCATTATTACGGGTCACTGTAGCCTTGACCTCTGAGCCTCAAGTGATCCTCCCATCTCAACTTTCTGAGTAGCTGGGACTACATACCACCATGCCTGGCTAATTTTTTGTGGAGAAGTTTTGCCATGTTGCTCAGGTTGGTCTCAAACTCCTGGAGTCAAGTGATGCACTTGCCTTGGCCTCCCAAAGTGCCAGGATTACAGACACGAGCCACTGCACCTGGCTTATTATTTTTTAATTTAATAGTTTCATTTTTAGGAACAGGGTCTCACTCTGTTGTCCACAGCTGGAGTGCAGTGGTATAATCATAGCTTGCTGTAGCCTTGAACTCCTGGGCTAGAGCATTAGTCCCACTTCAGCCTCCCTAGTAGCGTACACCACCACCCTGGCTAATTTTTAAATTTTCTTGTAGAGATGAAGTCTTGTTATGTTGATTAAACTGATCTCAAACTCCTGGCCTCAAGTGATCTTCCTACCACAGCTTCACAAAGCACTGGGATTACAGGTGTGAGCAACCATACCTGGCCCTCTGTTATGTAGGGTATTGTTACATATACTGTAATTATATATAGTTATAATTAATACATATTATATGTTTATTACAAATATGCCTGTTAATGTTATATTCTATTTTTAAAATGAAGGACAATTGCTTTTTTCTGTGAGTACCTTAAGGGTAGAAACTGGTTTTATTTCTGTTTGTAATTTGGCTCTGGGCAGAATTCTTGGCATAGTACATGCTTAATGTGTGAACTGAATTATATTTCTTCATCTTAATTTTACAGGCGTGAGCCACCGCACCAGGCCCCTTAATTTTAATTTTAATATATCTTTGAATAAACACCATTGTATGAACCTGCTGTAAGCTTGGGAGTGGTCTGTTAGTCTGCAGCTTGTCTGGGATGTGCTAAGTGAAGATTTGCTCAATACCTCATCTCATCTGCCTTTGGCTTTCTGTTGCTTATGCTTGATAGTATCTAGTTCATTGGACTTTTACATCCACAAGCATCACTTCTCTGATTCACATTGTACTCTTTAATGGATTAATGGTTTGCTTGGTTGGTTCCTCTAGTTAGACTGTTAACTCCTTAAGGGCAGAGTCTATATTTTATTCATTATCCACAGCACTAGGTACATAGTTGCTTTCAATAAATATATATTTAATGAATGAATTTAGTGAATAATGGCTACATTTTGGTACTTAATTATTATTTTTATTTTCTGAGACAGAGTCTTGCTCTGTCACCCAGGCTGGAGTGCAGTGGCGCAATCTTGGTTCACTGCAATCTCCACCTCCTAGGTTCAGATGATTCTCCTACCTCAGCCTTCTGAGCAGCTGGGACTGCAGGTGTCCACCAGCATGGCCAGCTAATTTTTTAATTTTTAGTAGAGATGGGGTTTTTCCATGTTGGCTAGGCTGGTCTTGAACTCCTAACCTTGTGATCTGCCTGCCTGGGCCTCCCGAAGTGTTGGGATTACAGGCGTGAGCCACCGCACCTGGCCTTCATTATTCTTTTGACATTTGATGAGAGATACTACTAATTTTTTTTTTTTGGTAGAGACAGTCTTGCTGTGTTGCCAAGGCTGGTCTTGAATTCTTGGACTCCAGATCTGCCCACCTCAGCCTCCTAAAATGTTGGGATTACAGGCATGAGCCACCTCATCTATCCTTGTTCATAATTTTGATGGGCTGGGCGCAGTGGCTCATGCCTGTAATCTCAGTACTTTGGGAGGTCGAGGTTGGTGGATCACATGAGGTCAGGAGTTTGTAACAAGTCTGGCCAGCATGGTGAAACCCTGTCTGTACTAAAAATAGAAAACTTAGCCAGGTGTGGTGGCACAGGCCTCTAATCCCAGCTACTTAGGAGGCTGAGGCAGGAGAATCGCTTTAACCCAGGAGGCAGAGGTTGCAGTGAGCCGAGATGGTGCCGCTGCACTCCAGCCTGGGCGACAGAGTGAGACTCTATCTCAAAAAAAAAAAAAACTGTTTGAAGGGTGTTAACAAGTACAGACATGGCCCTTCACCTGTAAGTATTTTATTTTTTATTTTGAGACGGAGTTTCACTCTGTTGCTCAGGCTGGAGTGCAGTGGTGGGATATCAGCTCACTGCAACCTCTGCCTCCCAGGTTCAAGCAATTCTCTTGCTTCAGCCTTCTGAGTAGTTGGGATTACTGGTGTGCGCCACCACACCGGATTAATATTTGTATTTTTAGCAGAGATGGGGTTTTGCCATGTTAGCTAGGCTGGTCTCCAACTCCTGACCTAAAGATCTGCTTTGTCCTTCCAAAGTGCTAGGATTACAGGCATGAGCCACTGTACCCGGCCACCTCTAAGTAATTTAGATGGTACGTCTTAAGCACAAAGACATGGCCTTTAGCGGTGGCTCACGCCTGCAATTCCAGCACTTTGGGAGGCCAAGGCCGGCAGATCACCTGAGGTCAGGAGTTAGAGGAGAAACTTTTGTCTCTACTAAAAATACAAAAAGTTAGTGGGGCGTGGTGGTGTGCGCCTGTAATTCGTGCTACTTGGGAGGCTGGGGGAGGAGAATCACTTGAACCCAGGAGGCAGAGGCTGCAGTAAGCTGAGATGGGGTCACTGTACTTCAGCCTGGGACTTCAGCCTGGGCAACAGACCAAGACTCAGTCTCAAAAGAAAAAAAGAACAAAGACATTTTCCTATGTAACCGCAATGCCATTATCACACTCAAGAAACTTAACATTGATACAAATGTGTATAATATATAGTCCATATTCAAATTTTCCTCTAGTTTCAAAAGTAATCTTTGTGGATTAAAATCCTGTATGCAATCATGATATTTTTGAACAATTCAGACTAGGTGTTATATAGAAAATTAGGTCGAGCCGGGCGCGGTGGCTCAAGCCTGTAATCCCAGCACTTTGGGAGGCCGAGGCGGGTGGATCACGAGGTCAAGAGATCGAGACCATTCTGGTCAACATAGTGAAACCCCGTCTCTACTAAAAATACAAAAAAATTAGCTGGGCATGGTGGCGTGTGCCTGTAATCCCAGCTACTCAGGAGGCTGAGGCAGGAGAATTGCCT